AGTTCATTTTTTTTTTTTTTTTTTTTTTTTTTTTTTAGTCCCCAGTCAGATGTACAGTTGGCAACAATTGTCTTTCATTCTGTAGGTAGCTCTCCATTCTGGTGATTGCTTTTGCATAGCACAATCCCACATGTCTGTTCTTGCTATTATGCCCTTACTGGTGGTGGTTAGCTTTAAATGTCAACTTGTCACAACCTAGAAACGTGTGGGAAGAGATCCTCAGTAAGAAATTGTCTAGATCAGGTTGGCTTATGGGTATTGTTAATTAACTGACACAGCCTACTGTGGGTGGCACCATTCCTTAGGCTGGGCCCTGTGTAAGAGTGAAGGAAAGTAGCTGGGCAAAAAAGCAAGCTGGTGGCACAGCTACATTAATCCGCTGCATTAATCCCTCTCTGCTCTTGATTTCGTCTTCTTGCAAGAATTAACTATTACGTGGAATTGTAAATTCACACTTCTTGGCAAGGTATTTTGTCACAGCAATCAAAGTGAAACTAACACTGTGCCTACATTTTATATGTTTCATGCCTTACATTATGGCTCTGACCCATTTTGAGTCAACTTTTGCACAGGGTGAGAGTTGGGCATCTAGTTTTGCTCTAATTTCCCAGCACCACTTACTGTCTTTTCTCCAATGTATGCTTTTGGCATCTTCATCAAGTATTAGGTAGCTGTAGCCATAAGAGATGATTTCTAGTCTATTCCATTGGTCTATATTCCTTGAGCTTGTGCTAGTACCATGCTATTTTTGTTACTAAGATTCTGTAGCATAATTTGGTATCTCCAACATTGTTCTGCTTATGATTATCTTGGCTGTTCAGAGTATTTTGTTCTTCCATACAAGCCAGGATATTTTATATATATATATATATACACACACACACACACATATACATACATACACACACACACACACACACATACAGTTTTGTGAAAAATATTAATGAGTTTTGTTGAGGAGTGAGCTGAATCTTTTCTAAGAAATCAGAAAAAAAAATCATCAACAAAAGCTTCTGGAGCCCAGGTATAGGCTTAACCAAAGATAAAAAAGATTTCTATGATTCAAGGAATTTAAGAACTTCCCTTGCCAGGCAGTGGTGACACACACCTTTAATCCCAGCACTTGGGAGGCAGAGGCAGGTGGATCTCTGTGAGTTCTAAGCCAGCTTGGTCTACAGAGCAAGCGCCAGGACAGGCTCCAAAGCAATACAGAGGAAACCCTGCCTACAAAAAAAAAAAAAAAAAAAAAAAAAAAAAAAACAAAAACAAACAAACAAACAAACAAACAAACAAAACCAAAGAAACCCCCCAAGACATGTTCCCAGGCCAACATGAGACAATCTGTCTAGAACCCTGCCCAAGTGATTGTATAGTGTCAGGTTGATAAAAGCCCCAAAACAGCTGAGAACACAAGAGTGGGTCTAATTTTCAGTACAAGTTTGTGTCATTCGCTACACCGGTTGAGTTGATAAGGATTTCATTTTCCTTGCTTGTAAATTGTAGGGAGCCGTCCCTGCATTCTCCATTACAAGATGGCGCCTGCATCCGGCTGTTGAGAATAAACAAGTCAGTGCGCAGGTGCAGGGTGATTTTCCCTCCCTTGGCCTCTGCCTCCCCCGTGGCGTCATATGGGCCGATGGGCTGCAGCCAATCAGGAGGTGACACGTCCGAGGCGAAGGTTGTAAACCTATATAAGGGTTGGGTTTTGGATGTTTGGGGTCTCCGCTCTGTAAGCTTATGCTCTCCCTCTCAAGATGCATTAAAGCTTTACTGCAGAAGGATCCTGAGTGTGCCGTGTCGTTCTTGCTGTCGAGAGGGTAGCGCGGGACAGTAAATGTGCTGAATCAGATCAGAAAATGAGTCCCAAACACTTCTACACCAAGTTATTTCCAGGAAGGAGAAAAAAGAACCCTTTGGTAGTGAAAATATATTTATTTACTTTTTTGTTTAATACAATAGCTGCCAGCAATATTCTGGTGGTGATGTTCCAGAGAGAAGACAGAAACTGCAAGCATTCTGTGCTGAGCTTTCATTCCTACCCAAGGGATCCTATAAAGAAACACTCCAGTCCTGTTCAGCACTGTGGCTTGGGAGCTGAATTTTTATGGCTTGGGACTTATGTTTTTTCTACGATAAAATACTTTTAGTTGCCACCCACTTTGGTAATTGTAAAGATGAACCTTTGGAAGTCTACCTTGAGTTTCGTAACAAATGTGCTCTCTCTCTCTAACCCAAATGATTATTGCCAGCCTAAGAAACTGGTGAGTCCATTGCCACCTGATGAGGTGTAGACCAAAATCTTCAAGAAATAATTTCTACTTCCCCTCATTTTTACACTGTAGATATTTCCTAAATGTTTTTTTTTTTTTTTAATATGAAGAAATAAATCCTATCTACATGCAACTCTGGCAAGATTCTGGAATAACTCAGCAGAAGTATAAATGCCTAAATTCTAGAACTGACCCACCTAGTGCACAACCACACACAATCTCATAATGGTTTGCAAATTGCTCAAGAGTTTAGAGTTCTGGAAGCTAATGTTACTGAGAAAATCTTATTTGCACCACATTGAAAACCTGCATCTACAGAACAAAGGAAGTTATAGTAATGGAACGGTGAGGCTTTCCCACTGTTTAATAGTTTCTCGGGAGCCACTGAAACTGGGAGGGCGGCTCAGCTCAGATCCCCCTTCTCTGAGGCGAAGGGTGTGTAAAGGAAGGGTGTTAAAGGTCACTGCAGGGGACATGAGACACCATGACCCCGTGTGCCAGCCCCACACTGCATCAACTGCATGGAAACGTTTACATTTCACCATGTCCAATCTCAAGCCTTCAAGCCATGATCTTGCACAGATGGAGGGGCCAGCACATGCTGCAGGCCTTCCTTCCCTTTTATCACTCTTGTCCATTTGCCAACCTCAAATTTGACTCTCTTCATCTAAAACTAAAATCTACCACTCTACTGAGAAAACCAATTCTGCCTCTGTGAAAACCAAGTCAGGCTTCCCTTCCTTGGAGACAGCAAGAGCAACCATGAGGAAAACTAGAAAGCCATGGGGAATGAACACCCAAGGGCGGGCATCTCACGCCAGCTTCCGTGTGTCCTCCTACTGCCCTGCACTACCTCTGGAGTGAGAAGCCCTCACTGCATCTACTTTCGGGAAGAGTGGGCATTCGTTCTCTGGAACCTTCCTCATGAAAGATGCAATCCCACCCAAGGACAAGTTGTCGCTATGTAAAGTTGGGACACCTGCCCAAGGAGACACTGCAGGGTCATTTCTCAAAGGAGAAGAAATCGTGCCTCTAGCTGGAACCAGGCGCATCACTGCCCAGTGTCACACCCTGATCAGCAGTAAGGGTGAAAGCCATGGCCGAGGCATCTCCCTGAGCCACAGGGGCACACGGTAAACCTTTCCTTGTCCCCACACTAAGTGAATTTCTGGTAGGGGCTGCTGATGAGTCAGAATGCTTTCCATGGAGTCTGTGTTTATTTACTGCCTTAAAGCCGTGGGGCAGAAAGCCTGTGGGAAAACAGCACTTCTTGAACAAGTTATATTTAAAAAAAAAAAAAAAAAAAAAATCACTGAAAATGGAGTATAGTCACAGCCAGGCTCTGGAGGACTACAGTGAAAAAGTCCACTTTGTTTGGGGAGGGGGAGAGAGGAAGGAAAGACAGCACATATCTCCTTTTATCAAACTCACTCTCCTTTGTTAGACTTCAAATAACTTTTGGCTTAGACTTCATTTAAAAAATGAGACAAGCCAGACGTGATGGTGCAGTGTGGGCTCATAATTCCAGCATTCAGGAGGCAAATGCAGGAGTTGCCACAACTCTGAGGCCAGCTTGGTTTACCTATCAAGTCCCAGGGCTTCAGAGAAACATCTCATCTCAAAATAAATGACAAGAAAAAAACAAGAATGCCCTTCCTCAGTGTGGCAATTGGCATTAGGCAAAACTGTGGGAAATACACCCTCACTATGAACAACCCCTATTTATCCCAGAAGTGAAGGACCTCCCACTCGGTCTAATGCAAAAGGCGGTGGAATGGGAGCATGTGACCTATGCTTCATGGGAGCTTAAGATGGGCCAGATGATGCATTCTACCCACCCACCCCATCCCCGAGAAACTTTAGGAGCAAAGTGTACTTGACCTTTCAATAAGCTGACCCTAAACCCGATTAGCTTCTGAATGATTCACATGAGCTTCGGCAGCTGAGCGGCAGCCTGTGCAGTGTTGCTCAAAGACAGGAAGATACACCTCCACCCAGAAAGGGGCTTTTTACAAGAGGGAGGTGGAGCTTGGTGTGGCTCAGGGACAGAGCCTTGCCAGGTCTACAAAGTCCTGGGTTCTATCCCAAGCACCACCCCCAAAAAAAGGTGGGGGGGGGAGGGAGCTGTTACAATGAAGGCAGCAATACTGTTGCAAATGTATGCATAGTCCTGGGCAAAGCCCACAGCAGATAACACAACAGAGAACCCACCCATCTTCTCTTATCATTTTGAGAATTTTCAGTTTCTACATAGTATCAGATGTTATGATTTATACAAATGACACATTTTAGGCAAAAATTAACTATCTACCAAGAAAACAGCAGTCTCTCTACATACAGAAGGCAGTCTTTCCAGACAGCAACATCCTTCAGCACACTCCAGGACAGACTACACTGAAACAGCATGTCCAACACAGTAGCAATCCTTCCATATTCCTTATTCAATATTAGAACTCTCCCCCGATAAATATTCTTTGTACCGTGCATTATACACTAGTGTGGGGTCCACTGATGTCACGGCTACTATTCTAATGGTTGAACACTGCACCTCAAGTCCTGCCATCTACACAGTGAATGGACATGATGGTCAGGGCTCCAGAGTGATGGCAAATTGCCTCTCGTGTGATGAGCTTGTGCAGAGTACCTCCGAACTGGAGGACAGCAGATGGACAGGGCAGGGCAGGTGGGCCGGGTAGAGGATTTTAGAATAATACTGCTTAGGAGTGTGTATGGAGATAACTATTACACTTTGTCTATCTTTAATCCTAGACTTGAATAACTGCATGTTCATGCAAAATACACTTCTACTTTAGAGGAGGCAGAGCAGTCTGTTAGGAAAGCGTATTTTGGGGAAATCTGAAGGCATCTCTTGAAAGTGCTCTTTACTTGGTAAGTCTCTTGGCGACATCACTGTATGCGATTTCCACCTCCTTGTCGCTGGGACAGGTGTTGGTGAACTCATCCCTACTGTAGGCATTTGTCAGGTATCTCCAGATACCCGTCATTCCTTTAGGAATATCAAAGTTGCGGTATTTTTTGGCCACCACCTGAAATGCAAGAGATCAAGAGTCACACCTACTTTCCAAGTCTCCACACTAGGCATGTCTGACTTAAGTGACTATTAATTCTGTGAACCTTTGTCAACATATTCTGGGGGTGGGAGCTCTTCCAGAAGACTGTAGTTCTGTTCTCAGCTGTCATGTGGGCAGCTCAACACTGCCTGTAACTCCGAGAGGAAAGGCACCCCCTTCTGGTCTCCACCGCTACCCAGGTGAACATGTTCAGAGAGCAAGCCACCCCTCACTCATCTCACTCGTAGACCAGAACTGCCTGCTACTCCATGCACTTGGAAATGCGACAGTGGCTACAGAAGCCTGCCCTGGACATCGGGAGATGGCTGAGTATAATCACCGGGTAAGTCTTTTTAAAACACGTACTATTTTAAGTTTGTTTTTTTTCCTTCCTTTTTTTGGTTTGGGCTATTTTTTGGTACAGTCTCATGGTAGTTATGCTGGCTTTGAACTCTTGATTCTCCTGCCTCCATCACCCAAATTCTGGGATTGCATAGCAGCTTCTAAAACTGTTTTTCTTCTCTTAGATCTTTACTGCACAACTAATGCTCATTTAATAAATTACCGTGGTGTCTCATATAATAACCACTCAGGAGAGATACTCCCTTAGTCTAGAGACACGGGGGAGGGCCTAGGCCTTACCCCAAATGACTTGACAGATTTTGATGATCCCTCATGGAGGGCCTCACTCTCCCTGGGGAGTGGATAGGGGATGGGATGGGATGGGTGGGGGGCATGGGAGTATGGGAGGGAGAGGGAGCTGGGATCAATATGTAAAATGAGAAAAAATATTAATAATAATAAAAAAATAACCACTCGGCATTTTTGGTTTTGAATGAAAAGATGACCTGTAGGATGAAAGTGACATCTTTGAGTTTTTACTCAATCACAGGAAAAGAAAAAAATTCTTGTTCAAGTCTCACTTTTTTTTTCTCCCTGAGACAGGGTCTCATATAGCCCATTCTGGCCTTGAGAGGGAGTCCTGAAGCTCCTACCTCTATTTTCTATTGAATTGGCTCCAGAATGTGCTGACTCTGTGTACTCTGGCTAGGTGGAGAATGGCTTCCATGAGGGGAGCGCTGCTCCAGGCAGCACCCGTACTTCCGCCAGGCCTACCTTGACAATGTGCAGCTTGGGCAGCAGGTTGCAGTCTGCCAGTGTCATCTCATCACCGTCCAGAAATCTTCGCGTGGAAAACTTGATGTCCTCCATACTGTTCTCATCAATTTCGTCAGGGAGGGGAGAGTTCAGATACTCATCCAGTTTCTGCAGCGTCTTCAAGAGCCCCCTCTCCAGTGCTGAAACAGATTGGGAACACTGACAAGTCCGGCCCTGAGCAGGAGCACTTGTGCCCTCAGCTCTCGAGAGCAAGACAGAAGGTTCCTATCCCTGGAGCTTAACCGCACAATCGTTCCCACAAGGGCACAAACAAACAAGAGTGGTGTCTATTTTGCCAACCAACAAATGCCTCACCCCCTTCAAAGCGATGCAGCCCCACACTGTTGATGTTTAAACTGCAAAGATAGGTGGGGAACATAAGTCTATTAATTCAAAACTAGGAGAAATCCTTGCCGAGATGGAGAGCACAGTCCTGCTCACCAGGATCTTTTGGATTTACCATGGAGAAATGTGTTAAGAAGTACCAATGCCTGAGCAGACAACCTACACAGAAAGCCTGGGAGCATGGGGTCTCACTCTGCCTTGTAACACACAAGAGGCCAAGAATAGGATTGCCTTACCCAACACACGAGTTCAGACTGCAAAGACATAATGACCGTACTGAACGAGCAGCCTCCTTGAGAGCCAAGAGACTAGATGCTATGGCTGCTATGCCTCGGGAAGCTGGACTAAGCCATTGGCATGCACCTGGAGAGTCAGGTCAGTGAGCCTTAGACGAGGGAGCTGGGCCATTACAGAAAGGAAATAGAGCAATAGACAGAGCCTCCACTGTCTCTACCCACTTCACTTTATTTTGTTGCTGCTGCTGGAGACCTGTGTGTGTGTGTGTGTGAGAGAGAGAGGGGGGGGGAGGAGGAAGGAGAGAGGGGGAGAGAGAGAGAGAGAGAGAGAGAGAGAGAGAGAGAGAGAGAGAGAGAGAAAGGCCATGTGGTATAGATTAATAAAAATATGGGTTAATATAGTTGTAAGAGCTAGTAGGACAAGCCTAAACTATAGGCTGAACTTTCAAAAAAAAAAAGTCTCCGTGTCATTTGGGGGGAGGGGGGCTGGCTGCCCAAAGAAATAATCTGATTACAGACAGATGAGAAGCACATAGATCTGGATTCATCAAGATCACCCTAGCTATTTCTACAGTCAAACAGGAGGATTGTTCCCGTCTTTGTGTTAGGATTCAGACGTATGCTGGCCTTCCTCTCCCCCCCCCCCCCCATCACCTGGCAGAATGCACTCAGGCAGCACCATGGCCAGCCCAGGGTCCTATGGCTGCTATGTCTAGCCTGCAGGCAGGTGCAAAGGTTTAAGACTCTTCTGCTCTTTTCCCACTGCTCCTCTGAGGGGCAGACAGGACTTTTCCTGTCTCTTCCTTCTCCCACTCCCTTCCCTTTCCCCCAGCAAAGCTTCCTACTTAAGCTCTGTCTGCCTGGCATGTTTGTTGTTCCCCTCCTGCATGGGATCTGGCCAAGGTCCCTATAACCCCACTCATGGAAATGGGCCTACCCCTTCCAAAGTGCCACTTAGCAGCACTCCAAATCCCCATATTTCACAAGACTTTTACAACTTCTACCACAGATCCAATGGCTGAAATGTGTACCTAACTCTAGTTGGTTTTTGGGGGGAGGGGGTTGCCCCTCCCTGTTTCCTTTCCTTGTGTCTGTCTGTCTGTCTCTGTCTAGTCACAGTGCGGTCAGTCACATCCCACTGTGGCTAAGCCCATCTCCCTCGAGATGGGATCTTCCCTCTGCCTGGAATGTCCTGTTTTGCTAGGCATCTCATGCTCAGTGTATAGTGTATGGTGTATGGTGTGGCCACAGTGTGAGATTCTAAATGCCTGAATCTTAACAGTTTATTTTGTGGGAAAACAGACAGCAGAGGGTGCTAGAATTCAGAAATAAATTTGGGGAATTATGAGCACTCAGCTGGACCTGAAGACACAGCAGATAACCATCATTTAAAACAAAAGACTAAAAACACACAGCAACAGATAGTACCTTCTGGTAATATTATACAAGCCGATGGTAAGGCGTATATAGCTAAAATATGACACATAAATTATTAATAATATGAACAAATGAGAATCCAGGGTTAGAAAGCTGGGTTAGTAAGGAATTAAGTGCATGATGAACATCTTGTGGTATACTCAAAAGAAAAAGAAACAGCTGGGCAGTGGTGGCTCACACCTTTAGTCCCAGCACTCAGGAGGCAGAGGCAGGGGGATCTCTGTGAGTTCGAGGCCAACCTGGTCTACAGAGTCAAGTTCCAAGACAGCCAGGGCAAACAGAGAAACTCTGTCTCAAAAAACAAAAAAAAGAACCATTGAAAATGGAGAAGAAATTAGTAATAATCTATGTTAATCATTATTAATAATAATTTATGGCTCATCATAAGGTGTGGTCAACAGAAAAGACAAAGCAGGCACTAGGAGGTTCCAAAAACCGTGCTAGCCAGTGAGGTGAATGAACAAAGTCCTAAACTCAGCACAGGCAGACTGTTGTTGGGAGGGCAGGGAAACACCAAAACTAACCACTGGGAGGCAGTAGTAAGTCACCAACACAAAACAAAACAAAACCTTCAAAACAAAGTGCAATGCAGCATGCACAGCTTAAAATTGATTCTGAGAATAAAAAATAACATTTTGGCCTGTGGAAATATAGCTAAATTTTAAAATGAAGATCCCCATGAGTCAGAAGTATATGGAAAAATGAACATTTTGAGGGTAGTGGAAATACAAACTGGTCAGACTTTGAAATTTTGGCAAAAGTGTAAAATGCATAGAATTGCTGGACATGGTGGCACAGGCCTGTGCTCTATGTCCAGGAGACCTGAGAGCCACATAGTAAGACTCCATCTCAAAGGGGGAGGAAGGGCTCAAGCCTTCCTACACCCATTTGGAATCTAGCTCAAGGACAGTCACTGGTAGCATGGTCACAGCCAAAAGCCATCTACAAGGTCCAACTGGGAAATGGCAAACACAAATCCTATTAAATCCCGAGGCAGGCTTGTTTTGACTGGGGTGGGGGTGGTGCGATTCGTGATCTCCTCCTGCTGCAGCCTCCTGAGTGCTGGGTCACAAGTAGCAGGAAGCATTTCTAATACATTATAGTGTGAGCATCACAACAACAGTTCCATATAAAATAACTCCCAGCCACCTGGGGTCTGTTACTGAATTACATCCTGACACTATATTGTTAAGTCAGAAAGGATCCGCAGACGTGTCTTCTGGACACAACAGGACACCTGCACTCATGAACTCTCGGCATCTGTGATCACTGCAGAGACAACCAGTCAGCACTGCAGCATGGGAATGGGGAGACCATGAGCCCCATCCCTAGCTCAGGAACTATTGGCAGCTGATGGCTTTGGGAGGAGAGTCAGTTTTCTTTAAAGGTGTGACTCCTAGTAAGTCACCCAGGCTCCAATGGATGGTCCCACACCCAGGAATATATATGAACAGCACAAATTGTAATCCGTGGGTTATTTCTTTCTTTTAAAAAATTAAGTTGAATAAGTGGGGAGACGGTGGTGAATCGGGTGGAGTAGTGGGAGGAGGAGAGTGAATAGGATCAAACTACACCAGGCGTATGATAGTCTCTAAGAATTTAAAAAAATAAAAATTTTCCCTGTACAACCTTGGCTTTTCCAAGAAGCAAAACTTCCTCTATTACTTATATGATTAGAATGAGCAGATTCAAGGCAGAAGTGTTGAGTGTGACGTAAACATTTCTGCTGTTAAAATATATACATCAACTTAAGCACTGATCCTTGTCCCTAGCCCATGTTAGCACCTGGGGCCCAGGCAACCTGGTGCCCATTGGCCCCTTGGCTGCACGGCTGCCAGACAAGGCTCAGTTGAGACCAACCAGGAAGTCGGCCTGAAGTTTCCATACCTGGGGCAACACCTGACTCCAGCAGAGACCACAAGCTGGGACCACCTGGGCACCACCCAGAAACAGACTCCAAGGGAGAAAGTACCTAAGGTTCCAAAGGAAATTGCTACCATCCCACCATTGTAGATAGGATCACCTGATGTCCCTTAAGCTAACACACACCCATTCCCTAACACCAAGACAGCCCAGATAAATGTCAGCCAATCGGGGATCCTGAACCTTAGGTATCCCTTGTCCCAACCTCTGCTATGATAAAAACCCTCTCTCGGCTGTCAACAGACAGAGTCCAAACCTACGCTTGAATAAAGGCTCTTTGCCTTTTACATACAGGACTCTGTCTGTCTCCTTGTTGGTCTTTGGGGAACTCAATGATTTGGGCATAACACTCTAGACTAATGTGATAGCATCTAGACAGCTATGCCCTTAGAATTAGGTCCTACAGGTCTTTAAACTCTTCATATATATATTGGATTTTACAAGTGTTTACTTACTAGGCTAATAAAGCAAAAACTTGTCAAGGAGAAAGTAAGGATCCACCTCTGTAAAGTGCTGAATGTGGGTGTCGGGAGATGGATGCCCCGCTGCCCAGGCTTATTAAAAGCATGCAATTGCTCTCAGCAGACAGAGGACTGCAATAAACACACAGGGGACAAGCATTCAACTCAAATTTGTTTTCCAAAGCCTCAGGGCAATGACAGGTCCCCATGGGGAAAAAGTAGCTTGGCACCTCAACTTATTTACCAGTAGGTATTGACTATAAAGAAGGCCTTGTACATTAGGTGCTCGCTCTGCTGTCTCTAGAGCACTGGTTGAAGCACTCTAGAGACAGCAGGCGTAGGTGGCCATTTAAGGCAATATAACAACTTGACAGATAAAAACATAGAGTACAAAGTTGTACTTAAGTGAGTCACTTTCTCTCTCCCCAGCCCTCATCCCCCAAGGCAAAGACAAACTAATTTTATTCCCTACTTCTCCCCATCGTGCAGTTAAAAAAAAAAAAAAATCCAACCAACTCTCCAGCCCTCAAAAACTGCACACAGAAATAAACCATAACAACCGTGAAAGAGCACAAAAGGCTGGTCAGCTAGCAGACCTGGGTATAAAAGCCAGCTTTGTGAAAACATCTGCTTGCACAAGCAGGGAGCAAAACTCTCTCTCTCTCTCTCTCTCTCTCTCTCTCTCTCTCTCTCTCTCTCTCTCTCTGAAGAAGGGACTCCAACTTGACCATTTACTCAGGGTATAAACTGCTTAGAGAGAAACATTTTTAGTCAGGAAAACAGCTAATTACTTCTATCCAAGGCAGTCACTGGAACATTATAAAAATAGATGTAAGCCAGGCCTGGGCACTAAAACTGTCTCCCACACCCACCCCTGTTCCCCCTCATTAAAGAACCCAGATTATCAGAAGGGAGCCCGAATAACTGGATACGGAAATACAGAGAAGTCAGCAAGTACTTTGCTTTAGGTGTTTGCTGCTATTGACAACACTGATTGTCGCCCCTGGCCCTAGACCACAGGCTGCCACAGCCTTTAGCCCAAGCTACCTATAGCCACAGCAGGCTCAGCATATACTCAAGAGGGCTGGTTTTTGTCTTTTGACAGAATTTCATGTAGCCCAGGCTGGCCTCATACTCCATATCTTTTCATTAAAACAAACAAGTTGTATCTACACTACTAAACTGTTCCTCACCATAACAACGTCCTGAAACAAAATCTCTAGTTTTAGGATGTAAAGAGATCTGAAGGCTGGTGAGTCTAATCACCTTCTAAAGGCCACTCCCCAAACTGCTCAGGAACAGCAATTAGCACACACATACACGACAAAGCATAGGCACACCGGCCAGAGCCCCACAATAAACAAGTGGCTTAGTAATCAGTCAGTCAGAGCCAAAGCCATCTATCTATCTCATCACCACAGCCCTCTGCCCATCACTCTGGCTGTGCCCTCAGTTCTCACACTGCTCCCTTGAGGTGAAGTCCTCAGTGTCTGAGAACTATGGCTTCCCTCCCGTCTCCTGTCTCCCAGGCTCCAGGACTGGCGCTGGGAAAGCTGCAATTTCACCGCTTACTCCGGGTTCCCATCACCCTCCCTGGGACAGGTCTGATGCTCACAGCCAAGCCTGAACTCCATACACTCCTTACACTCACTGTCATCCTAACAGCTCAAATTGCTATGTGGGCCTTTGTCTCATTTTGCTTTCTGTTGTGACAATCCGATTTAAAAATCCCTTACCTTCATTAGCCTCTGGCCTTGAATTCTTGATGTAAGCAGAGAATTTGGCAAAGATGTCCATTCCAGCAGTGTTTGACTCTGGGTGTTTTGGTGAAAGCTTTAAGTACCTAAATAGAAAGGGTGATACTGGATTACAGATCCTTCCAGAGAAATTACCCCAAGTCCTATCAATCAGCAAACCACTGTGCAGGTGACACCAGACGTCTTTGAACAGTTACTGATCTAAGAAACACTGCCATCTGTTTTCTATGGTAGTTTTTACATTTTCCCCCTTAGGAAACAAAGCGGTATTTTTGTTCACATATTAATATTCTTGGCAGTCAACGGGCATCCACTCCCCACCTCCATTTGATGATTAGAATGCTAAGGAAATGGCTTGTTAAGGGGCCAGGAGAACACAGAGGAACAGATGTCCTAGAATAAGACTTCTCAAGCAAGCCATCCAAGGGAGCTTTCCATGGTGCTTCACGTCCAGCTGCACCACTAGTGCCAGGGCACTATCAGAACACAACTTTAAAAGAACCACAAAGAAACAAAGCAAGTCACACTCAAACTCTCAGCAACCGGGAAGACACAGCTCTCACAGCTGGGTGCTTAGTATGCCGGGCACTGGCCTGGCACTGTGCAGCAGCATGAGGGAACCAGACAGCAGGAGGAGCCCAGGCTGGTCAAGCATCTTGATCATCCACAGCCAACTGAGGACAAAATAGTAGATGGACCATTCTCTTTTAAACAGCACCCCGCCTTCCCCACTCCCTCTGTGCTAAATATGCTGTATTATTTAGGACTGTAGTGCTGCCCAATAAACAAACAGGATGTCAGACATTATACTGAACCCTCTTTTGTGTTGTGACCATGTTTTCAACTTTAAGAAAGCCATGACACACCAGCTGTAAAGAGTTGTGCACATGCACACACACATACTTAAATGTTTAAATTCCAACCACATATAATCAATGTGTTTCTTCCTTAGGATGGGAAGTCTGTGGGAAAAGCTGGGCTACTCCTCCTTCCCTCAACAGGGCTTGCTTCCTCTCAGAGTCTGGCCTGGGGACTCTGCTTCAGAGAATATTAATGAGCTGGAGGGCCCTGCCAAATAAGGTAAAATTTCACACTAACCTACTCATTTCAACTTTTTCTAGAGGATACTGTCTGGACTAGTTCCCTTAAATTAAAATGAAGGGGAAACAAAATTGGAAAGAAACATTACAATCCAATGTTTTCTTTAATTCTGTGTGTTTCTCTCACACACGTATACATTTACAAACAACATACATACATACATACATACATACATACATACATACATTCCAGACAGGCCTGAGTGCTGGAATCAACATAGTTATTGTTTCTTCTGCTCACTATTGTGAATTCAGTAAAGGTTTATCTTCTAAAAACCTCAACCTTGAAAAACCAGGGAAAAAACCCTCAAGCTCATTTCCTTTTTAGTAAGTCCACCTAGTCTCCAATTTCTCAATTTTTAACACTAGAAACTTCTCCCATAAACATTACACCAAGTTATGTAGTGAACGAATCTAATGAGTTTATCTGAATCACAAACATGCAGGAATGTTCTTCCTAAGTACAGAGCTCTCTCCACCACCTGAGCAGAGACAGTTAATCCCAAGGCCAACATCCCCGAATTTTCCCTGACTCTGAAAACTAGCAGCTTGCAGTGGCAGTGTAACAACTGCTCTCACAATGAAGAGCCACACAAACATCCCAACAGAGCCAGTGCAGAGAACACAGTGTCCCTGAGTGCATCTGGGTCTTCCTCTAGCCCAGTGTGCACGATTACTCCTGCCAGAGGTGACAGTGTACACTGATCTCTGCTCTGGTGAAGCTGAGGTAAGGAGGATCATGAATTTGAAGCCACAAAACAAAATAAAATGGCCCATCTTACATAGAGCCTCTGGAGTTACACACTGACATCTGTCATCTTCTGTCCCAACCTTTCATCTCTAGTAGCAAAGCACAGTTTAGTCAAAAACCCAGGTTTGGAGGCCAGAGAGACAGATCGGTGATCAAGGGCATTTGCTACTCTTGCAGGAAAAGGACATTGATTCTGTTCCCAGCACCCATGCAGAGGCTCAAAACCACCTGTAACTCCAGTTTCAGGGGACCCAACACCTTCTGACCTCCACAGGCTCCTGCACACACAGGTGTACACATATACAGGCATACATATTAAATAAAACTTTTAAAACCAAGTTTTAAAGCTTTGTGGATAAGGAAATCCTTTACTTAAAAAAAATACAGTAAATAAATAAGAGTAACAAATTAATAATGATTATGATGATGCTTTCCCCAGAGGACAAGAGAAAGCCATTAGACCCTGTAGTTTCTCACAGAAAAGTTCTGTGTGTTCAGCTTTGCACGAGTGACCACATCTCAGGAAATGCCGGAGCGCCTGCATCTGCCCTGCAGGGGTGGCATTACGGTGCTCACAGCTCCAAGCACTGCCTTTGGACAGGCTGGTCTACCTGCTAAGGCAGACCTGCTGCCCAACCCCCTCACCTGTAACAGGGCCTTGTACAAACACAGCATGAAGAGCACTCATTAGGCCTGGAGTGAGCTGCAGATAGTGAGCTTGAGCCAGCCTAGACTACATCAGACCTTGTTTTTTTGTTTGTTTGTTTTGTTTTGTTTTTTGTTTTTTGGGGTTTTTTGGAGAAAAGGAGAGAGGAAAGAGATTAAGAATAAAAATAAAAAGCCTGTCTACATATAAAACTTTACCCAGAAACTCTTCAGGCTGTATATAAAGAAAAAGAAAAGTACCCTAGAAAACTTAGCACACTAAGGCAAAAAGACTTCAGTGTTGGAAGAAAAATCCATCTCCAGGTATAGCAGCTTTATAACCTGCCCAAACAAAACAGACATGAAATTTCTATATGAAAAACAACAAGCTGTAGCCAGATGTGGCAGCGCACACATTTAATCCCAGCACTCAGGAAGCAGACGCAGGCGGATCTGTGAGTTAGAGGCCAGCCTGGCAGCCAAGACAAACATAGTAAGACCCTGTCTTAATAAGTACATAAATAATGAAAAGAAAAAGGAACAGTGAAAAATATTTATTTCCAAGGTCCAATTCAATACATCAGATGCCAAGAAGCCAGAATATTTTGGGTTTAGCTGTATTTTTAACTAGTACCTACTTCTTCTGAGGTGCTATACCAAGAAGGAACAATAAGAACTGACTTTGTTGCTGCTGAAAAGTAGAAACATAAGAAAATGTTTGCTTGGCCAAAGTGGATATATCACTTTGCCCACTCACTGATTTAAAACATAAAATAAGGCTGGAGAGATGGCTCAATGATTAAGAGCATTGGCTGCTCTTCCAGAAGTCCTGAGTTCAATGCCCAGCCCTCACATGGGACTCACAAATGTCTACAATGGAATCCAATGCTATCTTCTGGTATGTAGACATACATGTAGACAAAACACATATATATAAAACACACAAACACAACTTTAAAAAAGAGAGAAAAGAAACACATTTCCAGGCTAATTAAGATGATAAAGCCTAAAAGAAAACTAATAACACTTTGAAAATAAAAGTAGGATACAAAACCTTCTATCTGTAGTTTTAATTTCCATTACAATGCTACCAGAACTGGAAAGTTTGGAATGACTTAGGGAATGCCAGACACCTTGCAAAGCTGCCTCAGAGCATATCGTAGGTCTGGCAGCACCACAGTCCATCTAGACCTTCCAACTGGGTGCAGCTTTGGAACCTGTCTTGCCCACCAGTAGCTCCTGCCTTTCTTAGAATGGCCAAGCAGACAGCCCATCCGACACTGAGGATGCATGAATCTTACAAGGCAGTCCTAGTTATCAAATTCAACGCTCTGAGAATCTAAAGGCCATCACATCAGGAAGAGTGTCTGCAGACCAATAAAGCCTTATTCAAAGCGGCAGCACTGTGTCCACACATTCTGATACTCACTTGGGAGGGCACAAGACTTCTTCAAGAAATTCCTCAATCTTATTTACATCCGTTTTGACTTCACTGTTGAAGGTTATAAACGGTGGGTGGGTCCCCGGAGCCAAGTTCTGCAGATCTGCAGGCTTCCTGTAGGCAAAACAGTGGTCAAGATGAGATCACTTTCCACTCTAAAAAGGCAACATTAAGTTCTCAGGCAGTTCTAACTCTTCGAGTTTGTAAGAATGAGCAAGCCCCAATGTTTATTCACTAAGTCTAAGGATTGCCCAGCACTGTAATAAGCAGCAACCCCACACATGGCACATAATGCCGTGTGATGAGAGCATTAAGAGTCACTGACTTGCCAGTGGTGGTGGACACACCTTTAATCCTAGCACTTAGGAGGCAGTGGCAAAGGCAGAGGCAGGCAGATCTCTGAATTGGATGCCAGCCTAGTCTACAGAGTGAGTTCCAGGACAGGCTCCAAAGCTACACAGAGAAACCCTGTCTCAAAAAAAAAAAAAAAGGGGGGGGGGAAGTCACTGATTCATCAACCAAAAGACAAATTCTTGATCCTTGGGCCTGGAAAGAAGTCTCAACAGTTAAGAATATGCATGGCTCTTACAATACCCACATAGGGCAACTCACAACCACCTGCAATTCCAGACCCAGAAGATCTGACACACTCCTCTAGCCTTCATTGGTACCAGTACTGGTGCACAGAGACACAATACACACAGAGACCCAGACGGACAGACACACGCGCACGCACAGTTAAAAATAAAGATAAAAACTTTAAAAAGATAAAAACAAAGTCCTTCATTCTCACTCCAAATCAACTAGGTTGCTTAAAGTTGGTGGTAAAATGAAGGGCAAAGATTTAAGAAAGTCCGCCTGCAGCTTTAACCGTGACACTAACTACCTCTGACCAGGACCCATAGGCCAAACCTCTCTAGGCCTGAATTCTTTCCTAATTTTCTTTGTTTACTTTGTTTGGGGAGTAGACATAAAACAAAGAAGAACCAGCAAGCTCCCACAGTTCTGAACTATAAGAAGAAATCCTGATCCCTTTACCATCTCCGTTCGAGTCAGACTAACACACAGAAAAATGATTGGGAGGCTAGCTAGTCTCCCAATACGTAAAAGAAGATATGAGCAAGGTAGGAAATAGCACAAAATTGATAAAGTATTCAGTGTGTAAAAAAATACCTACGCTTTGAAAGGACTTGTCCAAATTGATTTTTAAGTCATCAAAAGATAAAGTAAAGCCAGAAATGGTAGCATACCCCTTTACTCTCAGCAGATCTTGGTGAGTTTGAGGCCAGCCTAGCCTACATAGCCAGCTCCAAGCCAGCCAAGGGTATAGAGACCCTGTCTCAAAATGAAGATTAAGTAGAAATAGGTTCAAAGAATTGTGTAAGAGAGAGGAGGACTAGAGAAATGGCTCAGCAGTTAAGAGCAATGGCTGCCCTTCTAGGGGACCTGGGTTTAAATTTGAGTGCCTACATGGTGGTCAAGAATTAGCTGTAACTCCAGGAACACCAGTCCAAGGGGATCAGCTGCCCCCTTGTGGCCTCCACAGGCACTGCAGGGATGTACATGCAGGCCAAACACCCATACATATAAAATGAAAATAAAAAGGAACTGGCAAGAGGCAATCTGGGAGTGGTGACACACCTATAATCCAAGTATCCAGGAAGCCGAGACAGGAGGGTCATCCCTGGCCAGTCTGGGTACCACTCCAACAACAAAGACAGAAGAGTCTATAAAAGCAAGCTCCTGTCTCAAAAACAATAGAGATAAGAGAAAAGCCAGTGGGCACATGGTTAAATCTACACTAAAGAAATCCAAAACGCAACAAGGAAGACATTTTCCCACTAGAAAAAAAAATGAAAATATTGTGAAACCCTGATAAAGATGGCTGAACTTCATGATTATAACCATCATCAGCAAGGTCTGTTGCTCGTACCTGGCTAAAAAGCTCACCCAGCATCAGCAAGTGGGGTGGTTAGTGTATTTGGTAGTGACAAGACAAAGCACCATGACTTTCACCATCAATCTAATCTTGCTTCTGGAACATATACTTCCCAAAGCCAAGTCTAAACTGAGCATAGTGGCATACACACCTTTAATCCCAGCACTCAGGAGGCAGAGGCAGGTGGATCTCTGTGAGTTCCAAGACAACTAGGGCTATATAGAGACTCTGTCATTAAGTGAAAAAAAAAAAAAAAAAAAAAAAAAAAGAAAGAAAAAAGAAAACAAGAAAAAAGAAAAAGACCAATAAACAAAGTAAGCCTAAGACCCTTTTGTTTTGCAGCCCATGTTTAAAAACTCACCTAGGTTGGAGAGATGGCTCAGAGGTCAAGAATATATAATAACGCTTCCAGAGGACTGGTGTTCAGTTTTGGCTCACAACCACCTGTAACTCCAGCTCAAAGGGATCTGATGCCTCTGGCTTCCTGGGGCACTGCACTCATGTGCACATAGCCACACACAGACACACATGATTACAAATATTAAATAAAGCATCCTCATAGCCCAGTGTGGTAACCTGACACGTGCAACCCCAGCACTCAAGGGGCTGAGGCGGAATCACTTGGCTACAGATCAGTCTCGGCTGTATAGAGTTGAAGGTCAGCATGAGCCACAGATGAGAGGCAAACGAAAAGAAAACATCCACAGTACCTGGAGAGATACATTTAAGGAACTAGGATGGAAATGCCAGGAATTACTTTAAAATCGTTCAGAAAAGAGACTAAGAATAGAACAGCACAAAAAAATGATAAATTCTGGGGACTGAATTGGAGACATGGAAAAGTATTTTCTACCTTTTCCCTCCCCCGCCAAAAAAAAACAAGGTCTCATGTAGCTCAAGCTGGCCCCAAATTCACTGTGTTCAAAGTCACTTAAACCTAGCTCCAAGCTGACATTGAACTTCTGTAGTTCTTGCCTTGGCCTCTGGAGTACTGGGATTACAGGTATGGGCCACCTACCATACCTGGCTAATTCTATTCTGATATTAAATTATTAAACAAGCAGCTAAACATATCCCTTCAAATAGCCTCCCACACATCGCAGCCCACAGAGCTAGTTATCTTTTTTTTTTTTAATTAGCCAGCCTGCCCTCTTCCTTCCTTCCTTCCTTCCTGACCACAAATGCAAAGAATTTGAATTAAAAATATTTTTAAGTATATCACAAAGGAGAATTACTTTGACATAAAATGGATTTCCAAAAGAAATGATCCTACAAATGACAATTAGTCCTGCTATATTCATTTCTCCAGGTCCCATTCATTCGCACCTTCTCTCTGGCTCCATTTTAATTTAGATTAGCAAAAAAGTACCTCCTTCTTTGGCTATACATTCTAATCAAAGATATAAAAACTAGCTGTGTTTGATGTCTTTAATCCCAGTACTGGGATGCACAGACAAGTTGAGTTCAAGACCAGTCTATAGAGAGAAACCCAGTTTCAAAACAAAACAAACAAACAAAAATAAGACTTTCAGTACTGGGTTAGTTAAATTTTAACTCAGAGCCCACCCTTTACCCAGGCACTATAGTCCAGCTCTTCCAAGAAAATCACGGCCCAGATGTCTATAGGAATCTCAGCTGCAGAAGAGGACCTGCTAAAGGGTCTGGTTTGGTTTTCAATTCCTTCTTTGCCTGAGTGGTCTTCACTCTGGCGGACGAAAAGTTCAGCCCAGAGCCATGGTCCAGACCCACCTTTATTTAATAGTGATTAAGGTAACACTGTTACAGCTGCTTTTCAAAGTAACTTAAATTAGAACTACTAACTCCACCTCATTGCCGGTGGGGGTCTCTATGTCCCAGCCAGAGGCCTGCTTGCTGGTCTTTCATCACCAAAAGAACCACAGTTCTCTAACATTGGTGGTCTTCTGTCTGCAAGTCAGTTTCTCTTTTTGTTGTTGTTGTTTTGTTTGTTTTTTGAGACAGGGTTTCTGTGTGTAGCTTCGGAGCCTATCCTGGCACTCACGCTGTAGACCAGGCTGGTCTTGAACTCAGAGATCCACCTGCCTCTGCCTCTGGAGTGCTAGGACTAAAGGTGTTCCACCACTGCCTGGCATACTGTTTCTATTTATAATCTACTTCCTTCTCAACTTGTACAGAGTCCAGAAACTAACAGTTCAAGGTTTACACATTTTCAAATTTTCAGTTTCAAGTTCAAAAGCAGAAGATAATAAAATAGTATCTCATCAAAACAAAGGGTAGAAACTCAAACTGCACAAAGAGGGGCCATGGAGGAGGCTCAGTGTCAGAACATCTTCCCAGTGCACAAAGCCTTAACCCCAGCACTATATGCATGCATGCATGCATGTGTGCTGTGCATAGAATGATGCTAACGATAAGAATGTTCATGTGCAAATTTTGACTACCTAGAAAATAATTTCATCACTCAAAAGCATTAACTTTATCAACGTGTTTGTAACATACAGCAAATTATATGCCTAAATGTAAAGTAAAACATAATAAAGCCTGTATTTCTATAAATATTATTTTATGAACAGGTTAGAGTTGGATAAAAGGGAAGAAAGGGCTCAATGCTTTAAGAGTAGCCCATGGAAGGGACAAACATAACTAACTCTTACTTCTACAATTAGGCATGGCAACTTTTAAGCACCCCCCAAAAAAAACATGTTTCTTAGAGGAAGGGGTAAAGTGAAGAGCCCTGAACAGAACTGGGTAAAGCCTCCAACTGCATGGCTGGGTGGACAGTACCTGCTCTACCTCTGACCAAGTCAATAACAGCTAAAGGAAGGTAACACAAATGAAGGAAGTCATTAGGGTTTCCGTTGTCACGACAACAAAGCATTCTATAAGGAGTAGGTTACATCAGTTTTAACCTTAATGGAGTCCAGGCCTCAGTATCGGTTATGCAGGATCAAATGATTTGTAATAATAAAATCTAATTTACAAGATTTATTTGACAATGGGACACAAAGCCAGGCATACTTATGAACACCAATTCCATTAATATTAATGACTGGTAATTAGTCTATCTTATTTCTACCTGAAAGCTACACAGACTTTGGAAACAACAAAGATCATAAAACTGCTTTAGGGATTAGTTGTTGATAAAAGCCCACTGATTCCATTGAGAGAGGTTCTGGGGACAACCTCAAGGCCTCTC